GAGAAATGAAGAGCTCTGACTCCTTCTTCAACCGCCTGGCTGGGCAAAGAGACTTTCTAACTCTTCTCAGGGTCACTGTGAGCAGCAAGAGATCCCAACAGTAGAGCCCCAGCAGGGGACACCAGCCTGGGACCCCCCTGGCACCAGCACAGGCCCTGCTGGGTGGGACCAGGCTGGGGGAGCTGCCTTCCACCTCCTGCTTTCAGTAATTCCTTGTCCAGACTGCACCGCCCTCCTGACGGGCACAGAGGGGGCAGGGGGATGTGAGAAGGGTTAAATTAAATTTTGGAATGTCTCTGTGAGGCTGAGGTCTGCTGGGCACAGGAACATTCCCAGCAGGGCTGAGGGCTTTGGTGCCTGTCTCCATCCCTTTCCACCCACCAGCCAAAATCCAACCCAGGCCAGGGGCTGCTGCTGTGCTGGGGTTTGGGAACATCAGGAGCACCAGGAGAAATCACAGCTCCTGCTCTTGGCATCCTCAGGGAATGCTCCATGCAAGGAAAAGTGGTTTTTCTCAGGGAAGGATGGATTTGTGCTCAGCTCTGCTATCAGTCACTGCTCCTCCACAGGAGCAGGATCCTGGACCAGGCAGTTTGGAAATTCCCTCTGTTCTCCATGAGCTTCTGACACATCTGTTCTCTCCCCTTTCCCATCTCAGCTTCCTCCTGGTGATGGATTATTTTGGGATCAACATGGCCTCCCTCAACTCCTGCATCAACCCCGTGGCTCTGTACTTTGTCAGCCGGAAATTCAAGAACTGCTTCCAGGTAGGAATGACCCAGGGGCACAAGCTGATCTTATTCCTCATCCCAAATTTTCCCTGTTAGATCCCTCTCTTCTCCAAGTACACCAGACCTCAGTGCCCTGCTGGGGGAGGCTTTTGCCAGAGCAGGATTTAGGACAAGCCAAAAATTCCCTGTCACTCTGGAACAGGAACATCCTAAAAAACCATCATGGGGCTGGGGCTGCTGCAGACTTTGAACCCAGGATTTTGGGAGATAATTGTCAGGAATAGTGAAGCCTGAGACAGAATGGGAAGGAGATTGGGATGGGATGGGATGGGATGGGATGGGATGGGATGGGATGGGATGGGATGGGATGGGCCCACCCGTTGGGATGGGAGCTAAGCATCACCTGTATTTTCTGTCCCCTAATGACGAGAACACAATTACAAGAAATGCCCCAAATTTCAGTATCCTCATTTCCCACCCTCACCAGCTGTATCCTGTACCCACTCTCAGCAGAGCTGCAGGACAGCAAGGCTCAGCAGTTCCCAGCCTGGCTCTGTGCAGGGACACCTGCTGGCACATTATGGGAATATTCCCTCCTCTTTCCCCATATCCCACACGCGTGACCTCTCCCCCTTGTGTCTCCCCAGTCCTGCCTGTGCTGCTGGTGCCAGAGGCCGGCCCTGAGCATCACCCCCACGGATGAGAAGGGCTCTGTTGGCAAGTGGAAAGCCACGGGGCAGGAGCTGGGGCTGGACCGGAGCAGCTCCCGCCTGAGCAACAAGTACAGCTCCTCCTAAAGCCGTGTCACTGTCCAGGACAAGGCACAGGGACAGCAGGGCCCCTCCGATCCTCCCCCGGGCTCTCCCTGGCTGGGCCTGGATCTGCTTTGCCGTCGTGTCCTCACCCAGCTGGAAGGAGCTGGAGCACTCCCCAGGACCTGCTCCAAGCCCTGACCCCAGAGGTCCCCTCAGGAGAGGGAAGGGCATTCACATCCTCACAGGATTTTTCATTTCCTCCCAGGAAAACCAAGGGACTTCTGGCCATTGCCTCGGGGTGGAACGTGGGGTTGGGGGATGCACGTGGGAAGGGAAGGAATGGTGGGGTGGTCACTCTGTGGGGTGAGGAGGAGAGGGAGAGTGACAATTCCCAGCTGTAAAAGCCAAGCAAAGCCTGGATAAATCCCTGTGAGGCACAGAGATGTCCTTGTGGTCATGTGGAGGTGGGAAAGGCAGTGGAGAAGGTCCAGTCTCAGCTGGAAGAGCCACTAGAGCCAAGTAAAATGTGGGAAAGGGCTCTCTTGAATTGATTATTGGCAATAATTCATCCCCCAGGTGATCTGCCAGCGATTCTCAAGGCCAGGTTGGGCAGGGCTTGGAGCACCCTGGGATAGGGGAAGGAGTCCCTGCCCATGGCAGGGGTGGGAGGAGAGGGAGTGGAGGTCCCTCCCAACACAAACCAGTCTGTGACTGCAATCCATGTGATTCCATGTGACTGAGAATCCATGTGATCCCATTCCAATGTTCTTGCCAAAACATCCAGAAAAACTACATCAAAAAGTTGTATTTATCAGGTTTTTGATGATTCTTTGCTGGTTTTCCCACATCTCTCTCTTTTCCTTCTTTGCCCCTTCTACCTTGTCATAGAAAAAAATGGAGAGAGGAAAAGGGGAGAAGAGACGAGACCTGCAATTAAAACATTCTCCAGGTGTTGGGGTGGGCTTTTAGCTTAACTTTCACTGAAATGTAAATGTTTTACAAATAAATCATAAAAGACAAATGGGTTTCAAGGAAAACAGAGACTGAGTAATATCAAGACCAGTCCATTTTCCCAATGGGCTGAAATGGAGCAGAAATTCTCCCAAATTTCCCAATGTCTGGGAAACTTTCCCAAATTTAGAAAATTTTCCCAAATTTCCCAATCTGTGGAGCAGTCTGTCTCCATGTTCTATGACTTTCCATCCCTGTGCTGAGCAGAACACATCATGAGCTCTACAGCATCTAAATGAATAAACTTTTTTATTAAAGAAAATACATTTTGCAGCAAAGTAATAAAAAACACAACAACAAAAAAACCCTCGTTTGGACACAGGGAATTCAACAGAGATTACATCCATGCCATTCCCAAAGGCTACTGCATCTCCTCCTCCTTCTGTGCCCTGAACTCCTTCATGCTCCTCTGAAACAGAAGCAAAGCACAAATGTCACCAATGTGTCCCTGGTGGCACAGAGCCACCACCCTGCTGTGCTGGGACTGCTCTGGCCAGAGCTGGAAAAGCTGGGAAGCTCTGACAGAGCTCCAGGTGCTTTTGGAAGTGCCTGAGCTTTACAGTCACTCAAGGGAAAGGGAGCCAGGCCATGCCATGGATCAGGCAGAGCCTGGCCAAAAAATCTCCCAGGCTCTCCTGCCAAAGGTGTCTCCAACACAGGAGTCAGCCTCCCACGCTGGGATCAAGGGACAGAACTGACCCTGAGCTCCCCAGGAATGGCCCAAGGGACAGAACTGACCTGAGCTCCCCAGGAATGGCACAAGGGATAGAACTGACCTGGAGCTCCCCAGGAATGGCCCAAGGGACAGAACTGACCCTGAGCTCCCCAGGAATGGCCCAAAGGACAGAACTGACCCTGAGCTCCCCAGGAATGGCCCAAGGGACAGAACTGACCTGAGCTCCCCAGGAATGGCACAAGGGATAGAACTGACCTGGATCTCCCCAGGAATGGCCCAAGGGATAGAACTGACCTGGAGCTCCCCAGGAATGGCCCAAGGGACAGAACTGACCCTGAGCTCCCCAGGAATGGCCCAAGGGACAGAACTGACCCTGAGCTCCCCAGGAATGGCCCAAGGGACAGAACAGACCTGAGCTCCCCAGGAATGTCTCACCTCAAAGGTGTTGAGCACGTGTTGGCAAACACCCATCAGGTCATTCAGCCCTTTCCGGAATGGCTCCACAGCAGGAAGGGCCCCTTTGGGAAAAGATGGGAAAAGATGGATTAGGGACATGGGAGGTGGCTGGGGGCAGTCCTTACCTCCCCAGGGGTGTGCCCCCTGCCCAGCCCCACAGCTTGGGGTGCCAGGGCTGCTCCCAGCCAGCCCAGGTGCCTAGAGCCAGGAATGCTGCTTCCCACTGCAGCTGGAGCAGAGTTCTGGGAGCAGCCTCTGAGGCTCAGCACTGCAGTGCCTGGCAGAGGGCAGGGAGAAAGGGCTTTCCTTTATCTGACAGACTCCTGGGAAGCTGGCATGAGCAGGGAGAATTCAATGAGAACAGGGCCCCAGCAATAGAGGGACAGCTCCAGGCTCACCTCTGGTCTGGATCCTGAAGTTGATCTTGCTTTCTGAGGGGTGTGTGATGCAGTAGCCACAGAACTCCACGTCAGGGCTGCAGGAGGGCAGACAGAGAGGGAGCAGTGAGACCCAGGCCAGTCCTCAGCAAATCACAGGGGAGCCACAGGCTCAGGGCATGCCAGGCCTGCTGGGGCTCTGGATGTTTCCAGAATGACTTAGGGGAGGAATGTGCTGAGGGGAAACTCCCTGTGTGACCTTGTTCCCTCACACTCATCTCTCTCTGAGCTGAGCTGGAGCTTTGCAGGGCAAAGACAGGGCTGGCACCACAGCCAGAGCAGTGCCAGCTCTGCAGATCCAAACACAGGATCTTGGATGTCTGCAATTCTCTCTGTAACCAAACCTGCTACTGCCCTGCTGCTGCCAGAGGCTGAGTGGTCCAGGGCACTGGAGGAACTCCCAAAATGTTGCAGGGCCTCTCCCTCCAGCTGAGCTGAGTGCTGGAGCTTTGCCCCCAGCTTTGGCCAGCAGCTTCTTTTGTGTTGTCACAGTGATTTATCAAAGGGATCTTAAAGGCCACCCATGGGCAGGGACACCTTCCACTGCCCCAGGGTGGTCCAAGCCCTGTCCAGCCTGTCCAGGGACAGTTCCAGGGATGGGAAATCCACAGTCTCTCTAGGCAGTTACTGCTCCAGCTGCTCAGGAGGGACTGAAAGCCCTGGGCTGGGCTTAACTTGTGTTCCTGGGCTGGGGAGAGTGTGGGGGCAGGCTCAGAAGAGGCTGGTCAGGCCCTTTAAGGGCTGTTGGTGCTCTCAGAGTCCTGACACAGCCCAAGGAAAAGGAGGAGCAGCAGGTGGGAGCAGGGCTCTGTGTGTGACTGAAAGGCTGGAAGGGTGTGCACTGAGGGGATTTGGGATGGTTTGTCTCATCCCAGGGACAGCTGAGGTGTGAGTCAGGGAGGAGAAGGCCAGGGCAGGGCACGGGGGTCCCCCAGAGCCCCCACTCACTTCTTCATGACCATGTAGCGCAGGGAGTTGCCCAGGGTGTGATCCTCGTCGTGCAGCACGAACGTGACGCAGTTCCCGTCCGTCCCATCCGCCTGGATCTGTCACCAGAGGGAGAGGAGAGGGGCTGTCACCTCCCCGAGACCGGGGACACCTGAAGGGTGAGGGTCAGCTCTGTGCTCAGCTTCCCAGAGTAGCTGGAAGGGCTGTGGGTCTCGCTGGGCCACCTCTGGTCTGCTGTGGGACCAAAACACCTTCAGAGAGGAGGGAAAGCTCCAAAATCCCACCTAGCTTTAAACCAGGTTAGTCCTGCCCTCCAGCTACTGCTGTTCACCACAGGAGGACAGAGTGTCCCTTGGAGCCACCCTGACATGATTTGTCCTGATGCTGAAGGCACCCCACCACACGAGAAGGTGCCCTACCACTAACCCAGGGTTGGGAATGAAACAATCAGG